TTGGTTTCATTAACAAAAGAACTTAATTGAATAACAATTAACAAAGTTGGTGATGGCATCAGCACAGTGTGTACAAGCCCCCTTGTGTTTTCCCTGTGGTGATAATGAAACCACCTTTTTATCAGATTGAAATTTTGTGTGTTGGACTATGTAATGACTAAACTGATATTGAGCTTATTAGTTTATTTCAGTGGCTCACTGAGGCATTAAGCTGGTATCGAACACATTGTGTTTAACAGGTATGCACCATATGCTACCTTAATCAGACACTGGAATCACATTTGGTTGTTAAATTGTCTTCGAATAAAAGCAAGTAGTAAAACAACTTCAGCTAATTCAATTTCAGACAAGTTTTGCTGAAGTGAACAGCTGTTCATATTCGTTGAATTGTTTTAACATTCCCTCTCTTGCTTTGTTTTTCTCATTTGTTTTTAAGGCTTAACTCTAACAGCCTGTTTGTTCCTCAACTTTTCCTGTAGAAAATAGAGATGGAGGGTGGACTAGCTGTCCACTCTCCTTAAAAGAAGACAATACCAAGCATATTGTAGTGACAGCTTGCATTGTGTGTGTGTGAGAGTGTGAGAGAGAGTGAGGAGAGGAACCGTGTGTGTATGTTGGAAAAAGAAAAATATAGAGAATGTGTGTGTGTGTTACAGTGACAGCTTGTATTTTACGTGATTAATGATGTGCTGTGTGACTTGATAAGTGCTTCGGAGGACCAACGCTTGTTTCAATTAGACCTTGTGAAGGTCGCGACGCCGCGCCGGCCTCTCATTATCATATCCATAATCAATCCACATTATCATAGGGGAATGTGGAATGGATGTGTGATATCTTGGTCTCACACACACACACACACGCAGACATCTAATCACATACCAAAACACAATGACATACTCTCTCACTCACGAGAGCACACACACACACACACACACACACACACACACCCTTCACTCCAAGTTGATTTGAATCATGTCGGAGCGGATTGTCTGTTCAGATTAAGAGTGTGTTTCTGAGAATTAAGCAGCGTTGATGGTGGTGGCATTTGAGATCCCCTCTTGCAGACACAAATGCCAAAACATCATTTTGTCACCCCCTCCTTCTCTCTCACACCACCACATACTGTATACAACCGCATGCACACACATACACACACTTAACCAGGACCCTGGGGCATTTTTAATAGAGGCAAAGTGATTCTTATGTTTTTACTCTTTTAATGAGAACAGATTGAGTGGTATTTACACTTCATCGGCTGATCTAACCACCTACACATTTCTCTCATACTTCTGCTGCTCACTGGCCAAAACAGGCAAGTGGAAAAGACCAGATCTTGGCTTTGAAACAGCATCACAACATGAACATTATCTTTGTCTCTTTGGCTCATGATGGCACTATGGCAAAACAAATAGCAACTGTTAAATCAGGAAAGTTTGCGGGCAGATTTAGTTTCTTTACAAGGTTGTGTGTACTTGTCTCAGACAGGCGAGGAAAGTGTCTGGAATCCAAATTCAAATCTCTGGCAAGCATATATGTCCAGAGGGGCGACTCACTTGGGATCTGATTGCTGTTTCTCAGCGAATCTTTAATTTATTCAGTAAGACTACCTGAGATCGAAACATGAAAAAAAATGACAAACACAAGTCGCCTATTTCCTCCAAAGATTTATATGATACAACATGAATCAAGGCAAATGTTGGAGGTGAAGATTTTACACATTGTCTGATCAATCAGGTAAAACACTGGACAAGTCGTGGAGTCTCTCCACTATACCAGCCTCCTCCATGACAGTCTGCTGCCTACAGTACCTCAAATATTATTTCAGATTTTCTAAACAGTGTTTTCAAAATACAATCTTTAAATTAGCCGTTCCTGGCACCTAGTGAAGGTTATAAATAGTCATTTGAAACACCCAGCCATGAACGCTCCACAGCTAAAACTCCAAAACAGTCACTGGAAGACTGAAACAGCCACGTTCTGTGTGAGTCGGACAAAGAAAGAGCAAAAACCAATATCGCCTTGACTTTTGGAGATGGAGAGCATTAAAAGCAACCAAAGGCTTGTGGTGTCAGTTTCTTTTGAGTCTCACTAGACCCTTTTGCGGCTGAAGAGAAATTAGGTATCTTTAAGAATTGTACTATATTGAAGTAATTAGAGGAATCAAAATATGAAAAAATTAATGAACTTGGTATTCAGTACAGGGAGAATATCTTCCTAGATGGTCAAAACGAATGGCTTGCAAAGTCTGAGGAAAATGACTTGAGCTCACTGAAAACAGTACCCGACCAATTATTTAGCATTTCAGTCCTATAACACTGTCACACTGGACAGTTTAAAAAAGACCATCAATGCATTAGAGGCAGAGACATTGTTTTGATGTGTTTTTTTCTTCTTTTTTTTTGTCAAAACCTGATGCCTACATTACCCACAGTGCACCTCAACTGCCACAGTTTGGCCAAAGATTGGGTGTGTGGTGTGACCTCAAGCTGCAGGGGTTCAAGTAGAGATGAGGAGCGGGCTACTGGGGTCTTGTGGCTCACCTCTTTGTATTCCCCTAGATGTTTTTAATTGTCATACTTGTTATCTCTAGCCCCAAATGATGCCGGTTGAAAATGACATCATTTTTATCAGTTTATCAGACTTCACATAGCTCCCTCAGGACCACAAAAGGCTTTATACAACTTTATTCACATCTGCAGTAGTACTCCTGCAGACCTATAAATGATTTTGGGGTGTGAAATCAGTGCAGTCCTAGTTCTTGAATTTCTTCCCTTCTGTATCATGCACTATATTTTTATGCTTAAGTAGCTGAAGAGATTTTATTTAAGTATTGGCTCATTGTTTTGTTTCAGCAGAGTTTAAGCACAATAGCTGCTGTATGAGTTAAACCTGTGACCTTCCTGTTGTGAGACAAAGTCACTTCCCACCAGGGCATCCTGCAGTAACAAGCTTCACTTACTGTGGTTGATTATCAGACCATAGATGGATGAACTAAAATGAAAAATTAAACATGACCTAGCATCTAAGGTTATAATCACAAATCATTCTGTTGGCTGGTATATTACTCATGAGGTCCTTGTTTATGCCACCTTTTGTAGATTAGCCGGGTTCACCGTATAAGTAAATCTATTATCAGATGGTGCCACAAGTCTAAAAAGTTACACTGGCCTGGGAGGTTAAATCCAAACCTTTCACTACTTATTAGACACTTTAAGGTGGGAATTTGCATCATAAATCAGATCTGTTGGCTTTATCTGTGTATTTTCTACAGATGGAGAAAAAGAGTCGTGACATTTCTTTTTTGGCAAGGAAAAGGCCATACTCAGCAGGAGTTATCAAAGGCAAAAAGTAAAAAGTTCAAGTTAGCTATCTCTCTCTCTCTCCATCTCTCTCTCTTCCCCTGGAGATACTCATGTTAAGCATAATTAAGCAGATTTGATTAGCATCAAGCCTGGCTTCCTCTCTTGACTTTTAATGAATGTAAATCTACCATCTACATCCTAAAGATTAATTTCTGCCAATTAAAAAACACAAGAGGGCTTATTGGAGAGAGGGGGGTTGGGAGGAAAAGAGTGTTCAAGTCCTTTGAGTTGGAGTACAGTCGGAGTTTTATTCTCTTCCCTCTTGTCTTATGGTGAGATGGTCTCTGGAGATCTGTGTCTCTCTCCCTCACGACCAAGATCATTATCAGCACAATGTTCCGTGAAAGCCACTTTGAAAGGACTGCAAGCTCCATATGTAAATGATGGGAGAGTGTGTATGTGTGTGTGTGAGTGTATGTGTGTGAAGTGGAGGAGGGAAGCAGTACAGGGAACAGGTAAAGAGGTCGCTTTGTCACAAGCCAAGGTTGTTGGCCCACTTATGAGCTATTGTCCTGTCTCTCGTCTCTCAGGTTAGAGTCTTTATGGAGCCTTTTTGATTCAGATTCAGATTTTTGTTGCTTCAAGAAAATGAGAGTATAACACACAACATTACAATAATAACAACACAATGGTACCTAGTAGGAATTAGGTAATAAGGTTAAACATCCTCCAGGAAAGTGCCCAATTTATATCCTATACAATATATTGTTTTGGCTTATCTGTAGTGACAAAAGGAAACTACACATAAATGCACTAGCAATTCCACAGGTATTTTCCCTATATTTTATTATTCCTGCATTCACACTTTCTAGTCACAGCCTTTATCTATTTATGTTAAGTTTAAACTCTTATGCACTGACACTAGACCTTGGAGCTGTACCTTGATACACTGCATCTTTAGGAGCCTGGATAAAAAAACAAACAAACATGTAAATATAGAGTGTACATAGGGCTTTCTAATGATAAATCAGCTTTGTTCTCTTAGGAGTTATACTGAAATGTAACATAGGCTATTTGTTCTCAAAAAATAACTGCAGAAAAAAGATCATAATATTTTCAGGGATTATACAACTAGTCCCATGCCATGTTATGGGAAGATTACAGTGATACCATGAAGGTTTGGAAATATTTCATAACAAAGACAGATTAAGAGCCACAGATGCAGTAAGTACCATCAGAAGCATTTAGTAAGGCGTTCACAAATAGGCTTATCCAAAGTTTATGTAGGCTAATCTTTCGCTCCCTCTCCTCTCTCTCCTTCTGTATGAATGTCTCTCACTCTCTAAGAATATGCCCAGGCTCCTCCTCCTTATGATAATGTGACAGTAGCATCTCCAGCTCGGAGACAAGCCTCCTCTCACAACTATGTGATCTGTTTTTCCACACACGGACCCAGTCTCCTCTCCTCTCCTTTCACCCCCCTCTCCTTCTCCGCACACTCAATGCGCAGTTCCTTCTCTCAAAGCAACTGCGTTTGTTCGGCGAAGTTACTTTTTTACATAGTTAACTTTGAAGTTTACTTTTTCCTAATTCTCGGGCATGACCACCATGGCAACTCCGGCTGCTCCGGCTCTACTATCGGCCGCTCCACTCGGGCACCAC